ACTCAAGCTATAAAAGTTTTTTTTTTTCAATCAAAGAAGAAATTTGAGCCAAACTGGCACTTAATTAATATAGTTTTTACATTCATATAGGCGTTCACATACAAAGTGCATTTCCGATCAATCAACAATCGAAATCAAACTTTCTTATTTCGCAGCCTTTTTTTTGAAGTATGACTGAGTACAAAAACATCTATCAAATTTAGAATTTGGTTGATTACACGATATTCACATGATTTCTGTCCATGACAGATATAATTAGCTACTTATAAACAAAACGATAGTTGTTTTCAAGTTGATTACGATTACCGCTTTCAACACTGTAAAATGACTCTGATTTTAATGTTTTGACGTTCATTTCCCACCTACCTAGTAATCAAAGAATTGCAAGCAGGCATCAGACAAGCATCCGAAGCCCCTACAGCTATCCTAGCAGCTACTGCAAACCAGAACGACTCGGCAGCGAAGAGCGGTAGGACAAGGTTGCCGACGCAACACAGAAGAAGCGCCACGAAAACCTGAATGGTTCATTGTGAGAGCTCTAGTCCAAGATTATTCATCGAACTTACCATCCATTTACCATTGAGGCGATCTGCCCACATTCCTGTGACTAGGGTGAGAAGCGAACCAGCATTTTGAGCAGCCAAAACAAGGCCTTCCTAGAATTCTTGATTTGGGCATTCCTGGCATATTTCGACAACCATAAGGTAATTATGTCGGCGATTATACATTCACATCAGATTTGTAATACTCATTTTATTGTTTGATTAAACACCCCTCTTCCCTCTCAGAGGCAATAACTTCTTAATATATTTTATGAAGTAATACAGAATGCTTTGTTCATAGTGCACAAGGCTTTACTTGATAGTATTGGTAAAAACAGCAGATTTCATTGAATTAAAAGCAGATTCTGTAAGAAATGACACTAACAAGAGGAAGGAAAGCTAGTTCAAGCATTATGAAATATTTTCATCAAAAGCAGTCAAACTCTATGACAGTTCGCAGAGTCTACATTACTTAGACTTA